ATTATTAGACTGTTCTTAACCCACAAGTTATCTTTTTCCTCCAATTCTCTCCCCCATCCCACGGGAGGAGGGTGGGAAGCGAGCAAGTGCCTGCGTGGTGCCGAGTTGCTGACTAGGGCTATACCACGACAGCCCCTTTTGGTACTCAGTGTGGGGCAAAGGGCTGAGATAACAACAGATCTGACTACAGCACAAAGTAACTTTGTTATAAACATTAATTGTACTGGTTTAATGACAGCTGTTCTATCTGTCTGCGTGGTTGTGTCCTGTAAATCCTTCCATGCTGTATGTATTCCCTGCGGTGCTGCCCGTCACTTTGGGGAGAGGGATCAGGGTTATCATTTTGCTGTGTAACATCAGCCTATGATATGATATTACAGGTCAAGACACTAACTGGGTATCTTGACTCGGTGCTGCCATCAACTCCACAACTCAGGCACCATCCTTCGGAAATTATGGATAATCACAGTCTTTGCCTTTTCTCCTCAGAGAACCAATTCATGTGGGATACAGAGAGGGATGCTTTCTCCCACTCTTTCACCTTCCCTTCTCCTGCAGCCTAGTTACACCAGCTCTTGAGTATTCTGAATATCCCTGGGATGTTGAAGCCAGCATGCTCCTATTGCTGTGGCTCCTGAACGTGCTTCAGGTCTTGTCCAGGGTTAAGCAACTACTTAAAAAACCATCCGGAGATATGCCCCGAGGACAGGTGGGAGATCCCCCCCGAGGCCGGGTGGTCACGGGTGGGAGAGAGATCCCCCGCCGAGGCCGGGCGGTCACGGGTGGCACAGCACGCGGGGAGCACGGGCAAGTACTCAGAGAACTTTTCACCTCAGCGGTCTGGAACTTCACTGACAGGATCCTGATAGAGGGATAGAATGCTTGGAAGAAAAATGCCGTGGTCATTCCAAGGAGGCACAGCTTACCACACTGTGCCGGGCCCTGGCTAGTACCCACCCAGCACTGCTGAGTACCACGACAGGTACATAGGCCAGAGGAGACCTCAGGACCTTGAGGGCCACGGTGGCAACCAATTAAGTGAACAAGTTCTCCTAGCAACACAGGCCTTTGGCACTTGATGCTCTAGGTACACGAGGGGTCAGTATGAGGTGGCAGAACAGGGTAATATTCACCTCGTGTTACTTGGGTGCCACATCCTGCGATTACATGAGGTGAGTTATTAGAAACGTGAGAGAAACCAGCAGCCGAGTACCCACGTCGGGGGAGTTACGCCCTCATCCAGCAACACAACCGCCCGGGGCAGGAACATCAACTGCCCTGCAGGCATAAGGAACCTTTCCAAATCCCACTTTGGGGCAGCGTCCAGCATATTTCAGAGAGTTGGGCTTGTTCAGCCTGGAGAAGAGAAGGCTCCGGGGAGACCTTATAGCACCTTCCAGTGCCTGAAGGGGCTACAAGGAAGCTGGGGGGGCCTTTTTACAAGGGCCTGTAGTGACAGGACAAGGGGTAATGGGTTTAAATTGAAAGTGGGGAGGTTTAGATTGGATATCAGGAAGAAGTTCTTCCCGGAGAGGGGGGTGAGGCACTGGCACAGGTTGCCCAGAGAAGCTGTGGATGCCCCATCCCTGGAAGTGTTCAAGGCCAGGCTGGATGAGGCTTTGAGCAACCTGGTCTAGTGGAAGGTGTCCCTGCCCATGGCAGGGGGGTTGAACTGGATGGTCTTTAAGGTCCCTTCCAACACAAACCATTCTGTGATTCTATGATTCTATTTCCATATCCACTGACATGGCTGCACAGCACTCTCGAGTCAGCCTGACACAGCATTGCTGAAGCCAACCCGACGCCAGGGGACTTCCCTGGAGGCCTTTTTTTTTTTTCTATAAGAAGCTCCCTTCCATAACAAAAGTGTGAGAGAAACAGCATGTGGGATTTACAGCGATGCATCACTTAAAGGATTAGGGGAATTAAATAAAAACACCATTATGCAGACGCTGTGGCAGAGACAGTGCGTAACGATGCTGCGCTACACAGAATCCCCCGGGCTTTTGGGTGAAGCAGGAACATTATTCTGATCCACTGTTTATGGCAGAAGCAGCCTGTATTCAGCAGGGATTCAGAAATAGGTTAGGGAATGCCAGTGTAACAGAGGAAACCTCCTCAAATCACTTCAGTACAACTCTGAGGACTGAAAGCCAGCTGGCGACTGCAAATAAAGGATAATGGTGTCACGGTCAGTACTGGTGGGAACCTGCGGAGGACCCAGAAGATCTGACAGTTTTTGGTGTGCTGGATACACTTTACAGTCACCACTTCAACATCACCCGCAGAGTATGCAAACAGGAGAGGTAAGGAGCACTGAGGACAGGAAAAAGTCTGTGACAATAAGCACTGTAGAGGGGGGAAAAAGGAAAACCAACACAGAGAAGTCACAGATGAGACAACAGCAGGAAGATGAATGAAATTCCAGAACAACTGGCTGGCAGCGCAGCTCCGGCCAGGCAGAAGATGCTGCTAAGCTGGGAGGGGTTTAGGAAACAGCAGGGTAACCATTTCGGGGCCCTGGGGGCACAAGTGAGGCACGATCACTCAGCTCTGAAGAGAAGCACACCATGCTGTGGGTTAGAACGCAGAAGGTGTAAAGTACTGAGCGCTGATTTAATTATCAGCTAACGGGTGGCTGCTGGGATTTGAACAGATCGTGTGTCAAGAGCTCTAACACACCAACAGGCCACTCCCAGCTGAAACACTACAGTGAAAGGCATCGCTGTGTAGCACGGTAAAGGAGATCTACAGCAGCTCTAAAGCAACGGCAACGCCGCGAGGAGCTCCCAGCGTAACTGCCGGAGCACAGAGGCCACGCAGGCACGTTTTTCTGATCACAAAGAACCTCTTTACCCCTTTTTGTCTCGCTGCTGCTTCGCCGTCGCTCCGGTAGGTTTTGCACTTTTCTTCCCACCGGTCACCTTCTTGCGTGTTCTCGTTGTCGCGTCACTCTGCGCCCGCAGTAGCTCCTCAAAAGACATGTGAGATTGGTCTGGAAGAGAGCGCAGGACACACCTGAACCGAACGGCTCCAAGGCACTTCCCACCCCCAAATGCCACCAAGGGGGATGTCAGAGACAGTGACACAAGCACAGTGGTGCTGTCCCTATGTAACTGCATGGCAGAAAGATGCCACTGCACCCCTCAGCCTTTGATTTCTCTCTAATCACGGCAGCTTTTAGCACTAGAATAGCCTCCTCGCCTCCACAACGCTTCCCTCTCCACTCAGCAGCACACACAGGACCAGTTCAAAGTTTTTACCTGGTTCACAGAGCGGCAGGAGCTCTGCCCTGGGCTATACTTTGGCCACAGCGTAAATTCCGAGGGGTCACCTCTCGGTCCTGACTCTTACCAGACTGTTCTTGCGCTGTTACCTCACCTCTCGCACCACAACACCAGCCAGAAGGTGCAGGAAAACCACACGACCTGTTCGGGCTGTGTCAAGACCCGGAGACAGCGTCTCTCCCCCCTGCACATCCACCACAGCTCTGCTCAGTCTGCAATGAAGCGATTCCTACCCAGAGGCCCACAACTACCGACATCCAGACGTCCAGCGCTCTCGCCTCGCTACCGCTGGCACAGCTTACGGCCCCATTCACCGGGGGAAGAACACAACACCTAAAAGGGGTTGGATGCTCCAGCCCTGCCCCGAGCTCCCCCCGGTGCCATTTACACCTCGTGTTTCGTAAACTCTTCCTCCTCTCCTCCGACTGCTAACCAGAAGGCCAACGCGAACACCACAAGAAAGAGCAAAACCAGTTCTACCCAAAGCGTTGACGAACGCACAAGATGTTGTTCTGCAATTTTCTGTTGCGATATTGCTTTAACATCCCTCAATCTTCAACACTTCATAGAATCATAGAATGGTTTGGGTTGGAAGGGACCTTAAAGATCATCTAGTTCCAACCCCCCTGCCATGGGCAGGGACACCTTCCACTAGACCAGGTTGCTCAGAGCCACATCCAGCCTGGCCTTGAACACTTCCAGGGATGGGGCATCCACAGCTTCTCGGGGCAACCTGTTCCAGTGCCTCACCACCCTCTCCGGGAAGAACTTCTTCCTGATATCTAATCTAAACCTCCCTGATTTCAATTTATACCCATTACCCCTTGTCCTATCACTACAGGCTCTTGTAAAAAGTCCTCTCCCAGCACCCTTGTAGGCCCCCTTCAGATACTGGAAAGCTGCAATGAGGTCTCCTTCAGATAACCACAGCGTAAAAACATCATCAACACTTCTTTCTGGATTTACATCTCTGGGTGTTGGGGACTAGCAGGCAGAACACACTTTGCAGGGCAGCACTTGGATATGCTCGTTCCACTCTCTGGATGACAGCGCAGGCAAGGAGGAAGAGGAGGGTTTGCGCTGGCGCCCTCCTGAAGGGGAAAGTCTTGGCAGACACCACCCGGGTGGCACTTCCCGGCTCCAAACTCGGAGCAGCACTAGGCACAGGCTTTCCAAGCCTGTGCAAAACGCCTCAACCGCGGCCCAGCAAACACAACCCCATCCTGCCTGTGTCGGGCTGAGCCTGGCTGAGGGCAGACGCCCACCAAAGCTCTGTCACTGCCCTCTCTTGAGGGCAGAACGATCAATTGGTCATTGGCCTCCCCAGAAGGACCCATTCTAGGTCTCAGCCAAGAGCATCTGCCACCACACTGTCCAAAATCAAGGCAGACAGCTGTAGAACACCGCACTATAGGAAAAATATCTGTGCTGATTATACAAGTTACTGGGTATAGAGCAATTAACCACTACACAGAGAAACATTTGAGGATCACTGGACACACAAAATGCCACCAGACAGATTCAAATGAAAGAGACTGAGCGAGGACAACCAAAAGGGCAAAGAAAGCATGAAAGGAGGAGTGATGTGGCAGCTACGTTAACATCTCACGACAGACAAGACACCCTCACTTGCACTACAATACTCCATTTGGCTGCAATTCCAAACCAGTGCTGTTAAAATAGAAGAGGCTTAAAGATGTCAATGAAAATGAGCCGAAGACACCATACAGAGAGACCCAGCATTCAGCAAAGGATCAGAAAAGACATTTGGCATAAATCAAAGTGAAGGCGTGCAGGGCTTCCACTGATACACTATTTCAGTACTGGCACAGGAGATCAGACACCTGACCACGCAAAACCTGGTGGGGAGAACGCTTTTTGCGTAGTACCAGCCCGTGAAACACACCCTGCTGCCTACCTGTAGGAGGCTGAACCAGCAACTCGTATTGATAAAAATATCATTTGAACCAGAATAAATAAAAAAAAAAAAAAGGTAGCCTGTTTTGGGGCAAAAGTGAAGGGTCCCAGCAGGCGTTCACTGCTGGGCAACAGATTTGGTAACTGTGTGCGTGAAAAGGCTGCTGGCTTCCTGCTCCAAAGCAGCGGGTCCTGTCCCCGGCCTCTGCACAATGAAAGCTCAAGGTCCTTGAAATTTGTGCTGGTGGGTTCTCCACCAAAACACCCATTAAAAGACAACAGTAGCTAACTTCTCTTGTTTCTTGCATTTTTTTTCTTGACATTTCAATTTTCCTATTTTTTTCCATTCCTTTTTCCCAACCCCAGAATATAACATTTTCTGTGCTGTCTCTGTAGTCCATTTCATCTTCCCTTCCGCCACTTTCTCCCTCTCATTATTTTGTGGATCATTTTCTCTCCTTTACACCTCTCGCTAAGCTACTGTTACCTGCTGATAACAAGGGTGTTTCCTGCTCGCCAGCACAGACTCCCCAGGTTTCCTCTGCTCCCGCAGCCTCCTGCGACACACAGACACCTTGTGCCTTTCTCAGCTGAACCTGCTGAGCGCCATACAACTGGCCAAGCACAGCAAAGCGACCAGGATGCAAAACCAGAGGGACTTCGGAATGACTCGTATCCACCCAGTCATCCCCCAGTGACTTAGTGCTGGACTCCCACGTAACTACTACTGGTCCAGAAACGAGATTTCAGAGGGCTCAGACAGACGGTCAAAGCAAGACTGCTGTTCCCACTCGCATCCAGCTGTGGGAAGGAAAAGGTGACAGAGGGTGACAAGTGACAGCGGTCTCCTCTCCGACCTCTGCACACCGTGCCGTGCCTCTAACGCCACTGGCCACCGGTGCCCATTCCCTCGCGGTTCACTCTGGCCTCCGACAAGCCTTGGGAACGAAGGA